CCATACTTCAAAGCTTACAAAAAAAAAAAAAAACTAGTTTGGCACCTTTTCGAGAATGCAACACGCAAAAAAACCTAAAACTAGTCTGTGTTAAGAGTGAATATACTAAAAGGTAAATTACATTTGACGGATGAATACCAATGTGCACTGTCGATCCATTCGCTTTCGTTCTTGTTATTTTATCAATATGTATAACATATTTTTTCCTGTAGACACGCATAACACGTCCAGCGTTGCCTTTATAGTGGCCTCGTGTAACTATGATTTCATCGTCAACTCTAAAAAGAGCAAGCTTAGGTTACAAAACAAATGGATCAAGTCTATTCGTAAGGACTACAGTAGCTAGATTTCTAGAATAACGACGCAAAGCAAAAAGGAGACCTGCATCTTGCTCGAGAAAAAAGAAATTAAAATATAACTCATGCATTAGCATTCTGCTGGTACAGTATTTGGTAAGTGCAAATGAAAAACCGCAAAAAATATTTCACACGCAAGACTACGAGCAACATTTACCAAATAATAAAGGCTTGTTTTTTGAATAAGGGACAATAAAATTTGGTCAAGATTTTTAATGACTAAAGAGATTACTGTAGCCTCTGTAGATGTACATAACGGTGAAAGAGAAAAAAAAACTATCCAAGCTATTCAAACCCAAAAATGAATTATTAGTTACAGATTCGCAAAGAAAAAAATTTCTTTCAAGACATGTCTTCTCATAAACAAAGACTACATTTCGGATTTTAATTGACGATGCATCCATTAATCCTTCTGTGCAGCAGGAACTGTAAAGAAATACTGTCGCCTTTTTTCTGAAGATACAATATAAGGAATTCCAAAATCGATGTAGGCAAGGACGTAAAAGATAATGAATAGGAACAAGAGAAACTAACGTGTTAGGAGAAACACTGCAATAACCGCTAAAAAAACAGATATAGCACTAAAACAAACGCCTACTAAATTCTCTTTAAAAAAAAATAATTCATGTAGTACTGAACATTTATACTGCCTTATCCTGAAATTCACCTCAAAGCGCATTCCTTTCACCATTATAGCTTGACACCACCACTTAACAGGTGTGAAAATCCCTTAAAAACCTGTCTTTGTTCAGGAAATGACTTGTCATTGCGAAAGTCAAGGAGAAAAAACACTTAATGACCTCTCAAAACAACTTCCCAATGATAATACCCCTAATTAATTTCAATCAGTCTCGAAGTTCCCACACTCTATGCCAAGAAATACTCAGACATACTACACATCCGAACACGATTCAAGGTGGAATTCCATATATTAGAAATGGTATTCAACTCAATTTATAATATAAAATATCGACTGCTTTAAATAATTTGTCGCAAGTAACGTGCTAAGACGAGCCAAAAGTTATCAACAGTACTCCCACAGTTCGCTTTCTAATTTTCCTATTACTTCCCACAATTTGAGAAAAGACATGCATTAAGGCAGGAAATAATCATTACCTGATTGGAATGGACTTGATCCCGTGCTTATTGCGAAGATCCTTTGTCAAAGGCGAACTCATTATCTTCCTACGTATATGCGAGGGAGCATTGAAATGCGCCTTGCGAGCCTTCCTAGCGGAAAACGACACAAACGGGTTTTGCTTCATTCTTTCAACCCAGCTCGACTAAATATATATAATATATAAAATACCTCAATCCAGTAAAAACCAACAAAACCACGAAGCAACAAATGACATGGAAGAGCTTGGAGTGATCGTTTGAAAAAACTGCAAAGCGAAGAGCACAGCATACAGATTATTGTACGTAACCACAACCAATCATATTCATCCAAAAAGACTCTTTCAACGTTACTTTACCTCTATCTCTTCCTAGAAATTTTTGATTCCCGTCCCGCTGGCTTCTTCTATAACAGTTTAGAGCATGTTTGAGCACTTCTTGGTAACTTCTGATTGGCTTAGTGTTGAAGTTTCACTCTTACTTCTACACTGTTTCACCAAGAAGTTACCTCAGCGACACGCGTCGCAACGAGTAGTTGCTGTCTAGTAACTACACGATTTTTAGGGAATTCATCTTGGAGATACTCTCTGCTCTAATTGAAGTATTTCTGCTAAGTATTTGGAGTTCAACTGTTTTCGTACTGTAAGCCTTCTAGCAAAAACAATGAACAAACTTTTCTTCTCAAAAAAAATCTTAAAGTACATCCAGAGCAGTTTTCACAACTGCCAGTAGTTTTATGAAACGGACTGAAGTGAAGAAGCAACACAAAACCACAAAAGCAACGTGCGACCTTTCTGGCACTGGTGGCAAAAAAAGTAGAAAAGAAATTGTTTCCAAAGAATTTACTACTTAAACTAAAAAACTTTACTTGGACGATTTCAAGTGATGAATGTTGTCACATTTTTAGTCATTTTTTGTCTCGCGAAATACAAAATAAAAACAGACGATTTTTGAAAAATAAAAATGCGGAACTTGAAAAATAGAACCAAGCAAAGAGACAGTTTTTATAACAACGCCTTACGTTTTAAACTTTTCTTTTAATATCTTTTTTGTAACCCCGTCAGTTTTTTTTAACAAAAAACACTTTTTAAATTTTAGTTGCTTCTAAATACAAATTATATGAAAGCTTTGTGCCTTTCATGTGTACTTCACGAGCACAGAACCTTTCAAAATCCAGTACTAACCATTGCTTGGAAACGCATAAATAAAAACTTTGACTCGAACTTTATCAAAAAAACGTTTTTCGGCCGTTTTCTGGCCGCCACTTATACGAGCACACATTTTTGAAAAATTTTCCAATTTCTTTGCCCTACTCATGCAGTAAATCAGCGGGTTCTACGTATACAGCTAAAATGCTGCGCTTAAAAGATATTTTTTAAAGCACCAGAAAATAAGTACGCAAAAACTATAAGAAGGGCACTGCATAAGGAATGGGACTGAATTTTCCAGATCCTTCAGCCTCCGGCTGCAAAATGCAGTCAGTACCTATTACACCGCCATCCACTGCAAAGTTCATCTCATAAATAGCAGTCCTTCCAGTCTAAACAAAACTACCTAAGAAAAAAATTTCGTGAATGCCACCTCTTGAAGCTAAAATGCTGAGCTTAAAAGACATTTAAGATATTTAAAAAATTAATACAAAACTTCAGAATTCCTTGTTCGACAACCACCAATAAGTTTAGAGACAAATCTGAAACTGCCAATGATAAACTGGAATCGAGAAGTACAAAAATAAAAATAAAATAAGGTTGATTAACGGTAAAAAATGCACATCCGAAGAATGGATACACCTAAACTGCAATAGCGTCGATAACCACAGCCTCTTGAACAAGAATATATTCTTGTCTATAAAAACCTAATCAGTAAGATAAATCCACATACTAATACAATACAAAAACAAACAAACACATGAAAACTTCTGCGAGGGAAATCGCAAAACTGAGAAAAGAAAATAATTACATCTTACTCCAATAACATTAAAATTACTCACTGTAAACTTAATACAGAGATCCCTGAAAAATTCAGCTAAGATGCCCATCTAAAAGCACTGAAAAAAAAGTTATTTTAAAATTTAACTCAATCAACCTGCTCCTAAAGAACGACCGATGAAATTGGAAAGTAAAACGATGTGAAAATAAATCGCATAAACAATCGCATTAGGACCAAATTTACTTTTTACAGCACAATTGCTTCACTACTATAGCCCCCCAACCACTGCTGAATCTTAAAGTCATCGCGTTAAAACGATAAAAAACTTTAACAGATTTAGCCAGACATTCGTAAGTGGGCAATGCCGAAACTTTACTCAGTTTACTTTTAACACAGGTCATTTAGTTAAAAAACTATTGAAAATGTCATGTTTTGGACAAAAAAAGTATTGCATTAACTTTTTAAGGGCATTCAGTCACACTCCTTGTTAAATAATTAAGAGCAAAACTGGTGACAAACGTTACTCTTGTTCATTTCCTAAAGCTTTCATTGAAACGTTAACCTCTTAGCAAATTAGTTGTAAAGAAAAATCTAAAGACCTAACATAACACTGATAATTTGATCTACAGCCTCATAACTTCAGGTATATGTCTTTTATTAATTAATTAATTAATATATTTACTTATTTCTTTCTTGTAATTCCCAATTACAGGCACTTTGAGGACTGCTACAACATCCTGGTTTAGCGAAAATTAGACTTTACAATCAGTTTCATCATACTAGCAAAATAAATTTATAATTGGGTGTGGCATAACATTCCACTAATAAGTTCCATATATTTCTCTATATAAAGAACCTTATTTGACGCAGCATCCGAAAAATCCTGTAAAAACTGCTGTTCGTCACTAGGTTTGATACGCAGCAGCTTTTTACTTAATTAAACTTCGTTTTCCAGTAATTACTTTAGCTTCTGCCTTGTTAATTCTCCAACTGCAAATACTACCGCAATTGCACTATCGCCTGAGTGATCGTAAAGCGGCTACGCAGTTGGAACAAATAACTGAAAGAATATCTGGAAAAAAAAAAAAGAAAAATAAGGTAGCATAGAAAATCATCAAAATAAGTCCTAAAAAGAATGAGATTATGTTATAGAGGATCCGGTTTTAAAATATTAAAATAATCGCCTTGTGCAACTAAGCAGGTAAGGTGTGCCACATGGTACTAAACCAACATGTTCTGAGTTACAGATAAAAACTGAAAAAGAAAGCCATTATTTCCGTTCGTAGAGATCACAGAAGCCCATATGATGTTGAGGTGCTCATGGAATGGCATTTGAAACATGCAGTGCAAGGGAACAGTTCACTAACACGTATACTTCCCTGATTGATTTATATGTTTATTCAGTTCGTTATTTTCTTCATCTTTCTAAATCATTAAAAGATCACTTATTTTACAGTTGCTTTTAACCTGTCTGTCTTATACGTCTTCAACAACATAATGAGGGGACATAAACTGTACTGTCCAACGCTAATAACTCCTCGTTATTTACCGATATTTTTGTTTCTAACGCTCCAATTTTCTATCCCCTTCGTATTGTTGCTACTTCATCTCCAACGTACACCGTAAGTTCACCCTAGGCTTGAACTCAGAAAACCCAAAGAAGGAAATACAGTCCTTTCCGTAATTCCATAAACACAAAACAAACCCACATGACAATACGACAAGTGCAGCAACTGCTAATGGAAACTACATGTTGCTAAACATCACACCAGCTCCATAAAAACAGCGAGAACAGCATCCCGTTGCAAAAGATAGCAGATTTAATTTGGAAAAAAGAGGTGCAGCTAGTTCAACTTTCTTTGTATAACGTAAATGCTTTGAAACTTTGGCACCAACCCAGCATGAATTACGGCCATTAGCAAAAAAAATGAGTAGCCAGCCTTCCTCGGTCAGTGCTTGGAAGCCCAATACCTAAGCTTTTCTGACAGATGTCAACGGTTCTGGTGTAATATAACAGTGGTGGCTTTTTATTTGGCTACAAGTTGCTTTTTTTTTTCTCTTTTATTTTGGTTAAAAACTGCACTATTGACGCCCAAATTTTTTAAAATACAAAGAATTTTACGCTGCCAAACAAGGATAATGAATTCCTCAAAGATTTCGAGAACTAATGCTGCAGGCAGTCTTTGTCAAATTTCTTCTTGTAACATTTCTTCTTTCAGAGTATATTTAGCACTTCAGGGCTACAATATGTTCCAGCTGCATAATGGTTAGAAAAACTTGTAACAAAACTCACCAACTCACCATCTAAAGATGAAGTAGTTTAGTTTTGCTATTTTTTTGAAATGAACAGAACAAATTGAGTCTTTCTAGATTTGAGTGACGTTCGTTTGGTGGCTCTTTTTCTCAACTAATCATTACATATGGACATCTCACCTAAACTTCACGGTCTTACTACAAAAACAGTTACTTGTATATACAGCAGACAAAACTGCAGTTTTAGAGGTATGACAATCGCATTGCTTTTTTGAACGGCATTTGTGCAGTGTAGACATATCTCGTGAGAAACTGCTGTTTTCTTTACAGGCAACAGCTGAAAAGTTTTTTTTGGTTTGTGAACAGTCTGAACCAACTTAACTTTGTATTTTGTATTTTGTTTATTGTTTCTATAGCTGACGCTATAAAACTCCTTATAATGGACATGCTCAGAAGAATGAAGGGTAGCGACTTTGGAATGTTCTTGTCGCACTTCTTTCTGTTCCTCTCCTTTGTAACATTGCTGTCTTATCACGAGTTCTCTTTGAAGGCACCGTCAGGCATCAGAGCGAGTTAAATTTGAAATACCAGGAACGTGGCCGCCTTTCAACCTCACCCGCTAATATAGGGTGGTCTTGTAATTTCTAACCGTCGTTTATCGGGGTCACTATATAGAATGTGAGTTTTACAGCATCGCTAAGGGTAACTTTATGTTGCAGAAATTGTTTACGAAAACTGGTTCCTATTGCCTTGTTCATTTTATTCGTAATTCTTTTTCTTTGGGTTGCGCTCATCTTTGCGTTCCCTAATGCAAATGATATTCCCAGATATTGCCTAAGCTATTCTTTATAAGTTTGTAAGATTGCCTGTTTGCCAAAGATTTCCTGAAAAAACCTTATTGTTTTATTTTGGCACAACTTAGCTTTTACGAAGAAATCTAACTTTTCTTAGGGTTTTTGTTGGTTTTTATTTCATCTAAAGGAGTGATATTCGAATTTTTTTTTTTTTTTTGTAATCAAGCATTTTAGATATTTTCCTACTGAAACCTTGACGTTCAAGGTGATAACGGATAATCTTTCAAGACTTTTGTTTTAATACAGATGTTAACGATTGTAAAAAGAATTCGAGAAGTAAGGATGCAGTTTGATGAGCAGTTTTTTTATATTACTATTTGCCTTTGGTCTTTTTTTGTTCTTTTCTTTACACTTCCTGCAAGCTACATATTCAATCGCATAAGGGACCTGCGTACATGGTTCATTTTTATCACTCGCTCAGCTCACTCAACGCATAGACGAAGGGTTGCTTTCATCCAAAGACAGGTCAGACTTACTCTTATTGAGTCATCTTTTGGAAAAACCGTAATTTTTTAAAATGCGGTAAGGCGTTTGACAGTTAATATGTTTTTCGGATAAGCTTATTCGAGAATTAGGTAAGTCACGATTAACATGTCAACAAACCTTTCTTTTTGGCTTCTGTTTTTACCCTTAGTTTAATTTTCTAGATGAAAAAATGGAACAATAACGGTCGGAAAACGAAGTTGTGTACTTCGAGGCGTGGCTGGAAGACATTGGGAGTTTGCCTTCCGAAGTACAAAGATGGCTGCACATTAATAAATATTAGTGGTCTCCAAGATATATTAGAGGTGAAGAGTATTGAAACTTATTTCTGAGGGATTGGAGTTTTTTTTAAAGAATAGGGATTCATCACAGCCAAGGAGAGTCGACTTTTGTAGATAAATTTGCAACAGGAGTATGTTCATGTTGAACCTATGCTTAATATAGGACAATTAATCAAATATTTGGTTCCGAATGGTTATACCTTACCAATAGTTCCGGAGCTAGAAGATTTGACAGTTGGTGGTCAGCCTCTGTTTGTGTTACTTGACATGTTTTTATTTTTCTTGTTGGAAAAGTTCTTATTTCTAGTTGCAGGCAAGCACGTTTTTTTGAGGAACTGCGCAAAAAGTTCTCTAGAGTTATGATAGTTTTATTTAATCTTCAGGCTTGATTAATGGTTTTGGAGTTGGGTCAAGTAGTAAGAAATATGGTTTTTTTCACGAATTATGCCTGTCTTTCGAATTAGTACTGAGTGACGGGTCACTGGTCACAACGGCAAAGGCAACTTTTTGTCCTATTATTTGTACCACTTTAAAGATAAAGTGACAAATTTATTGCTTCTGTGAGACAGATTTTCCTATTACAGGTGGAGAAAAAGACGGAAGGGGTTGAAAAAGATTTTGCTTTGTTTTACGGGGTTCCTTTCTCGCACGGTAGTATCGGTGTTTTGGTATCAGCAAAGTTGAAGATAATTCCGTGCAAGCCGTTTGTAAAGCTGACATATGTTCCTTGCAACTCGCTAGAGGTAGGGAAATAGGTAGTCATTCATTTGTAACTCCTTATAAAATATTTAATTGGCTTCGACAGATTTAAAGCGAGATTTTTGGTTTGAAGCCTGTAATACATTTATAACTATGAAAAGTTTGCGACCCTTTTTGCTGAGACCCATCTATTTGTACGACTAGTCATTGCTTTTTCTTTTTTTCTTTTCTTAAATATTACTTAATTTGTTCTGATTCTAACTTCTCATTTTGGTATAAAAAATCTTAGAGAAATACTTTTTTGTTTTATTTGAAATTTTTTGAAACACATGATTGGTCCATATTTGCAAAGAGCTTTCCGCTTGTTTTTTGTGCGGTTGTTATTTAGAATTTTTTGTCAATCATTTTGCTTACGAAAAGCTGTCTCAAGTTTCAATTTTTTAATTTTCTTTTTGCAGCAAAATTAAGACACCGTGGAATTCACACAGTTTTTTTGCTTATCTTTTGTTTTGGCTAATTTAACGGTTCAAAAAAAAAAAGTTTTAGCTTATGCAAGATGCTCTTAAAAAGGAAGCGGAGGACCGTAGCAACGAGTTTGTTGAAGGCATTCATTTCAGTCAAGATTTTGGGGTTGTAGTGAAGGGCTGTTTTTCTGATGGTCCTGCTAGGAACGAACGTATAAGTACAATAGGTGCTTTTTCAATGAATATGAGTCTGTTTGAAAAAGCAGCTTATTTTTGTATAATTTGATAACTAAAACAGGTAAATGGTATCAGCCTCTATTCTTTGAACACGTTTCAAACGTTGGAGTTTTGGAAGGATACACGGAACATGTGCCAGTTGTCCGATATTACTGTCGACATTCAAAAAGCTTTTTCTGGGAAATTAAGGTATATTCTTTTTTTTAACTTGAATTTGTTTTACTTGCATGTGAAATTAGTAACGGCGTTTTAGTTTCCTCATTGTTAAAAAAGTTGAAAATATTACATTTTTAACAGAATATTCTTCCTTTTGTTCGAAGTGACTTTTTCCGATTCTTTCTTGGTTGGATGTTACCACCTAGAATAACAATGCTGAAAGACAGTGTCACGCATCAGATTGAAAATTATCACAGAAGTCACCACGTTGCTCAGTTACTTTTGGTACCAGTAGACCGTTTGTGGGACACGGTGAACTTGGTTAATGACAACCTTAAGGTCTCATTTTGGTTATTTCTACTTTTATCAGCTTGGAGATGGTTGGTTTAGAGGTTTTAGCAATTGATTTTCTCTTTATAGTTAAGAAATTAATGTTATCTGTAGTTTTTTGCAGTTTTTTCCTAAGATGTTGTTCGTTGCATATTTACTTTGGTTGTTAACTGTTTCACAGATTTATCCACTCTGGCTGTGCCCCTTAGTTTTGAATCCAACTCCTGGTTTTATGAGACAAAGGGCGGGAAAACGACTACTGTTTTGTTGCATAGGGATGTCTGGTACTTTACGAAAGTCCGATGTTGTTATTCCTAATGCACTCAAGAAAATAGAAGCATATTTAAGCTCTATTAGTGGGTAAGCATGTGTTACCTGACTCTAATTTCAGTGGCTTTGTTTGTTTTTTTCAACAACCTGAGCCTTATGCCTCTAAACTGCCCCTTGTAATAGATTTGAAAGATAAATAAGAAGAAAATAAATTTCAGAAGAAGTATTTTCCTTCTGACAGATTCTTAATGTATTTTTAGGTTTAAGATGGCGTTTGGAGATTGTTACATGGACAAACCTCAGTTCTGGGAAATGTTTAATTCAAATTTGTACCACTGGCTACGTGTCAAGTATGACTGCCAAGATGCTTTTCCTGACGTCTATGACAAAATTTGTTATGCTGCTTACAGTTAGCAACTAACATAATTATCATGAGTGGCTCAGTTCAGTTATGTTGTAGCTACTTCTGATAATATCTTTTACAGTATGAAAATGTTTGCTGGTTCACTTAGAAGTCTAATTATATTAACAGTACTTGATGTCTTGGGCACAGTTTAATTCTTTATTGTTTTTTTATTTATTTCTATTTCTTGGCTCTTGTCTTCAACTTTGCTCATTTTTCTTAAATTTTAGTGTATATTTTTTCACTGTTTAATGAATTCTCTTGAGCTCCCGGGTGGGTAACGTATTATTAAGTGTGTTTTGGTATCCCACTGGTGCGGAAGCTAATCTTCTGTTTGCTGGTTAATTTTGAACTTTTATTTCAGTAGCTTCATCATTTTACGCGACTGCTGCTACTATCATGTCTTTTTTTATTCTACAGTTACCGCTGTTGATGAGAGGTCCACTGTGTTTTAAAAACGGGGTTTTTGTTTAGTTGTCCATTGTTTTTGCGAATATTTTGTTAAGTTCTTTATAAGAGCACAATTTGTATTTCGCGTTCGGTTCACTAGTGTGTGTCATAGTATATGTTAAATTTCTATAAAGATAGTTTAACTTGTAAAAGTCTTTCGGTGTTTATATCACAAATGAGTCGAAGTTGGTCTCTGAAATCAAACCATTGTGTTTGACATATTTGTCACTAAATTCAATGCTTATGACGAGGAAGAAAAGCTGTTCAGTGTTTTTTAGGTTTTGCAGAAATGGATATGAAGGCTTCTTCAATTAGATGTTCTAACGAGGTGGGGAAGAGGTGGTTTTTGACTTATCAAAAAGGTAAGCAGTCTTAATTTTATTTCTGGTTACGTTTTTCACGTTTTTTAACTACAGGATTCTGAAGGTTCCTGTCTTACATTTTGACGTTTTTAAGTGCACCTAAGGGTATAACCAGAATCTGTTCAGTGGCGGTTTACAGGATGCAAAAATATTTTTTCCGTATTGGAATTTAGTTTTTTGATTTTACCACGTAGTTAGCTAGAAGGGGCGGCCCTAACCTTTGTTTTGAACTTTAAAGACTTTGTATAATGAAGTTCTCCTCTCATGATTTTCCAGAACTTGATGAGCAACATGATCGTCATGAAAGGATTGTGAAGTACTCTCGAGATGTTACCATCGAAAGTAAAAAAATTATTTTTATGCTCCATCGATACTCAGGAATGAGAACTGACGAAGATAAACGTCTGTACTTCCGTTTTCCAATTTTCCATTCTGTAGAAGAAAGAAGTAATTTTTTTTCCAGTAACCATGTGTAGTTTTTTGGCATCGCAAACTTCAAATTTTAGGGGAACTCTTAGAAAAAGCTAAGAGGCGTCTAGAGGAACTTCGAAAGAGTCAGATGTTAAAAGCAGCAAAAGAGTTAAGTTCTGTTGAGGACCAGTACAGGTTTCACCGAGCGATAACTTTTGGGCTACAAGGTAAGCTGACTTCTACTTCAGGTCATTTGTTGAAAATTATAATCTTCATTTTTCTTGGTAGTTTCCTAACCTTTTTTCAATTTAGAACATATTGAGGCATCTGCTTTTTTGAAGTTTCTGGAGACTGCAAGTTTACTAACTTATGAGGAAATTAAAGAATTATTGACATTTGAGGAGACAAATGCAGAAGGGATAACCAAAAAGTAACGTTTTCTCAAGCTTCCTAAGTTTCTTGTTTTTCTTTACAAGCTCGTTTATATAATCAAAGCAGAAAAGGCAGTAATTCTACCTTGAAATTCTGTTTGAGTAACTTTCGAATCTACATGAAAAAAATTAAATGTATTTCGACCACTTAAACTATTATTCTTAAACGTTGATTTTTAATTTTGGGAAAGGTTAAATATCTCACAATTTTTTTTTTATTTTGCTAGGGAGAAGAGTAAGAGGTTGGTGGGTATCGATTATAAAAGTTTGACGAAGGTTTAAATGCTTTATATATAGCAGATACACTTGAACCTTCGAGGAGAACCTAATTTCATCGTTAGGAGAACCATCTACAGTA